AACAATAAGTTCAATAGTCATTTAGACTTGATGGCATTACAGTATTGCTTCTATTTCTCATTTTTGACTAAAGCCTCCTCAGTAGTTAGCGGCCTCATATGACACAGCAGTATAATGTTGCGGAAACAATCTCACATTTAAGAGTCTCTTCTGCAACCCCACTCAGTGCCCTATTGCGGAGGCCCAAACTTTCCACCCCCCCCGCCAGAAGCAAGGTCAACGCTCAACAACCCGGGAGGCTCACCCACAGTCCCTTTTAAGGAATGCATGTTCAGATACAGCGGGGTTCTGTATCATTATGATTTAAAGTATGTTCCGTTTTGGAGTCTCTGGGCACCTCCACATCGAGAGCCGCCGCTGGTGCATCCACATCCTAGAGAGCGCACCCTGGCCTACTAGAACTAAAAGAGGGTTTCATAGGGATTAGGGTTCAGGGTTTAGGGCCTGCTAGACTTAGAAGAGGGTTTCGTAGGAATTAATATTCAGGACGTATAAGGCCGACCAGACTTAGAAGGGGTTTCATAGGGTCAAACAGAAACGTACCGGATATCATAGGATGTTTATGGGGTTGAGAACAGCCTGACGAATTGGAATAGGCTCCTGTTTTCAGGGGACTAATTAAGGGATTCTCGCTGCAAACTTGTTTCTAGAGTGCAGGGATTGTAACATTTAGGATAGGGTTTGGGAGCAAGATCATAGTACAACATCATTAAGGAAACATATGGAATGGTGTTAATTAATTGGTTCGTGTCTCGACCCATCATATTAAGAGAACATGAAAGGCGGCAGGTGCCGTCCCTCAAAGGACAGCAGCAGCCGTGAACTGATCAAGCGCTTCGGCCGCAGACGAGCTGCTGCACGAAGTGATTCTTACTAAACCCTTTTTGAACAAGGTCTCTCTGAAGTGCCTCCAACACCCTCAACCCTAAACCCCCAAACCCTAAACCCCTAAACCCTAAACATACCGCGAAGCCTCCAAGGCCAAAACACCCGCAAGCACTTGGTCCAGAAGCAGTGTCCATAGTGCGATGGCCGGGGGTCCCAACCCCCGGTGGTGACATCAGAGGGTGCTGCCAAGCAGTTGGCGCTCGTAAGGTCAATGCCCAAGCTCCCTTTGGACATGATGTCAAATGGGAATCCCTAAGATTCCATGTGCCCAAATAGTGTATACCTTGGCCCCAAAGTACCTGTATAGGGACTATACTTTAAGGCCAAAGTAACTACTATTTGGGTACATGGACCCTTAGGGAATGGCAACTTTGTCTGTTCATCTACCCCCGACGTCTGAGGATGTCGGCCAGCTTTTGCACTCATCATACGGGTAGTTCTCTAAATTAGGGTCCCTTCTGGGGTACCCTAAATAATAGGTGCCGTATTATAATAAGGACCCAAAAAGGGACCCTAGTTTAGAGAACTACCCATACGAGTGGTTGTAGACCAATGTTGAGCAAGTCGTCGATGTTCATGATGAGCTCCTCGTTTTCGAACTCGCACAGGTTCCGCGGCGCTCCTGGAGCTGTTGCCCCTATCATGGCATTTTCCTTTCTGACCGATGTCGAAAATAGAAATCTCGAGCAATAGAAACAGATTGAGCCAGAATAGGGATTTAAACGGGTCTTAGAGTTCGGGAGTATCCCGTGATGATTTTTGCCAACCTATCTTTGTACGGGAAATCATCAGAAAACCAAACACCCTAGACCCCAAATTCTAAATACCCAACCCCCTGAACGCTAAAGCCCTACAGAAACTTCATCCAAACCACACAGCCCCGTCCTAGGAGGTGCCGAAATTAAGTTAGGCTGAGGGTTTACCGTGGAGTTTCGAGAAATAGTCACCAATACTATTTTGGGGTTCCTTATCATACGCCCTACGCCCTTATAGTAGCCCTTATGGGGTGTATTATACTCTAATTATTCGAGGATCTAGCTAGGGTTTTGGTGGCGTCGGGTCCAAGGTGCAAGCGATAAAGGCAGGGCACCTAAGCCAAACGGTTTAGGGTTTTTTTTTGCCTCCTACCTAGCAAGGACAAGCCCGCATTTAGGGTTTAGGGTTTCGGGTTTAGGCCAAATGAGTGTCCGAATCTTTCACAAGGTCTACCTCCACACACACACACACAAGTCTTTCGTGCAGTCCCTCTACATCTAGGATGTGCAGCATGACTCGGTATTACATATATATATATATATGTATATATATATATACATATACATATAGAGAGAATTATAAATATGAAGATGAATATAACTATATATATATATATGTATATATATATATACACATATGATATCTACGTATATGTATGTAGACGACCCCGAGGTTGCCCCAAACCCTTGATTCCCCAATTACTCCCTCAAGGCGAAGACCCTCCTTGTACCTTCAAATAGGGGTATATGGGCACCCAGGGTCGAAAAGAGGGTAGATGGAGGGTCTCGGAGTATAGTAGTAAACTTCTGAAGGTTCCAAATTTGGAGAGCTCCGTGTATACAATCCCCGGCTGTGTCAGAAACCTGAGGCACACGCGATCAGCTTTCGCAAGCGCCCCTGTCTGCAGCTGAATGCTGAACGGCTTCTGGGCAGTTTAGAATATATAGAGAATCAGGTAGGGTTTGAATCGAATCCTTGACATTAAAAAACCGTAGGGATCCAGCAAACCATAGGTTGTGACAGGTTATGGCAGGTGAAGAATAACAAACCAACAAGGACCGAAGATTGCCTTCAGAGCAGGGGTCATAACTAGTGTGTGCGGGTTTACTGCGCAAAGGGCCCCCTCATAGGCTTTATGAAGCTTGAAAAGGCATGAACGGTTTCAACAGGGCTTCACAAGGTCACCGGACAATTTTATCAACAATTCTCTTGGCCTCTGGTTTGTCGGGCTTCATATCCTGACAGCTTGAAGCCGGGCACCTTAAGTTGGGGTTGATAAGCCCAACATGCTAGCATCATTATCGTGTTTTGGCTGATGCTCTCCAGTATTCTTGCTAATACTCTGAACGATATCAATAGCATTAACTAAAAATAGAAGGGGAATAATGATATGTAGTGACTAGAATGACCATATTGTAAGTAACTGAATTATCTCTATTATTATTATTATTGTTATTATTGTTATTATTGTTATTATTGTTATTATTGTTATTATTGTTATTATAAATCCAAACTCACCAAGCCCGCCCTCAAAGCGAGGAGCGAAACCCGGCTATGAACCCCAAGCCTTGCGCGGCGGAGCTGCCAACTGCGATGTCTCCTTGCGCTGGAGGCAGGGTTTCATTCAGGGTTTAGGTTTACCCTAACCCTCCCGTTAGCTACTATATAGGGCCCTAAGGGGCTCTAGTACCCTATATAGTAGGTACCTGGGGGGTTAGGTTTAAAGTTTGGGGTTCTGGGTTTGGGGTTTTCAAGACAGACATGACACAGACTCCCAGACTGCTTAAACCACCAGCGTCGCAAAGCTTCAATTTGCCAACCCTGAACCGTAGGGTTCGGGGCTTCTGGCTTGAGCCCTAACATGGCGAGCCCTTAAAAGCGAGACCACTGTGAACAAGGGCTCTGAAGTCATGCTGCCGGGCCTGTTGCTGTTATCTCCACCGACAACCTAAAATTTGAAACTTCCCCACGAACATCTTGCCTACAGTCTCTATTGTTGTGGTTTTGTTTGTTACCTTTTTTGCTAGGGTCCTGATCCTTGAAACCCCTGGAAATCGTTAGCAAAACAGGAACAACTAGTAAGTAGCATAGAAACTGTACCGCCCTGCACTGTCGTGTGCCCTATGCGCATGTTGCAAGACGAACCCGGCACTGAACAACGACCTGCAAACTTTAGATCCTGAGCCCGAAACCCAAAATAATTGTGTTCGGGATCTCCTGCGTTACAGGGACGGCTGCCGCTTTTGGAACAGCTTCAGGGAGCGAAGTGTCCTGCAAGACCAAGGTTCTAAAAGGGATCGAAATTGCAGTTTGATTTGACTCTTGTAAAACAATAACTGAGCCCCACGCTGTGGGTTTGGCATCTTGTCGCAGTTTTGGTGCTTGGGTGGCAAGATGTGCTGGGTCGACGCTTCATGCTCCATGCGCCATGTCGGAATGTTTAGGGATGTTTGGAAAGTTTGGACTCTTGCAACTCGAGGGCGAGGCTTGTCCGGGCGGAAGGGGGGTTCGTTGGCCCCAGCTTCTTGGAAATACAGCAATTTCAAGCAACCGGTCCTAGGCGCAGTGGGCTTCAACTTTTCCAAAGCTAAATAAGTCAAGAGTCCCGGGGCCCGGTCGCTCAAGGTCGAAGTTTCTTGCTCTCCATTCGAGGCCCTCAGTCGCCCTGAGCACTCCTACGTTCATAGCAAAATGCTCAAAGAGTTCCCGAAGTAATCAACCATTTGAATGCTCCGGGGTCTTGTGAAAGCCCCTAGGATTATTGCTCCTAGTTGCGATGATGTTGTAGGCAACAAGGACAGATGCGAAATGCAGCTAGTAATGTCAAAAGGCCAAGTTGAACACCACGCCTGCACCGCAGTCTTTGTTTCACCTATAGGGAGCGCTTTAGTCTCCCAGCCAAATCAGATAATAACCGTAAGAAGAATATCCGCATGGTAACCAGGCTAAGGTACAGTACTGACTCCCGCAATGAGTGACCGTTTGTTGTCTGTTCCTGCCGTAAGCTGGGATTTGGGTGCTCTCACGTGGTCTCGTCGGTGCCCTCATGCAGGAGGGTCACGCTGCTGAGCAACCCTGTGCTGCACTGAGGCATCAATTGTCTTGCATGCCACCATCGGAGTAGAGTCCATGCAGTCGAAGTGAAGGGAGTCCATGCAGTTCATGCAGCACCATAAACTCGCTTGCAAAAAGGCATGCAATAGTCTAAGGTTTGCAATAAGCTCGTCACATGCAGGAGGGTCGCGCTGCAGAGCAACCCCTTGCAGTACTGAGGCATCCATTGTGCACGCCACCATGCAAGCAGAGTCTATGCAGACGGAAGGGAGTGCAGTAGGCGAAGGATTGCAACAAGTTCGTCACGGCCAGCTCGTCTCGAGCTCATCGTTTGTGCATTTCGCGTTGGCATTCGTGGGTTCATTCCAAATTGCGGGCTCATGGAAGACCTTCGCAGCCGGCCTCATAAGCCGAGGCAGCGTCATGCACAGCAGAAGTTCATCCACCATGAGGCCTAGCAGCGACTGTGGATTCCATTGATTGCCCACGGCACCGGGTGCAGGTGCTGCCGGATTCGCAGGAGCCAGCACCGGGCAATGAAAAGACTCGGTCGACCTCCTCGCCAGGGACAAGGCGCTCGCCTTTCTGAAGCATGAACGACATGAGGACCTCATGGTCACTGAGCCCAGGCACAGAACGTACGGCATCGGCCTGTTGTGGCTCAAGAAGGACAAAGTTGACCAAGCAGCCCCTCAGGGAGGCACTGCAAAGGTCCTCACGACTGACGCAGAAAGCAACCGAGACTCGTCAAGAGCACGGGCACACTGCCAAGTTCCTTTCGTGCAAGAAGACTGCGCTCCTTGAGAGGTGCAGCCCCTCCAAGAGAGGAATGTGGATGGGACGGAAAATCATGGCAGGGCCAAACTGAGTTCCTGCATTGAAGCTGTCCTGCAATGCTCCGAATCCGGAAAGCACAAGAAGGGTGCGTGCGGCTACGTCCGAGTAAATACGTCCATGATCGTCCATGTGCATGCTCCGAATGCCCGACCACCACACCGAAGGGTACAGCGACCTGAGTCGCAGCACCCTCGATTTCGGGCAAAGGGGGAAGTGGATCTTCCAGCTCTCCCTCCACAACCTGGTCTAGCAGCTGATCTGCAGCATTTCGCGACGTTGCTAAAAGTTCCCGTCCAGCTGGATCAAGGGCAGGCCGCCCATCTCGGCGGGAGCCAGGGTAGCGCTCCGGCTCGGCATGGAACTGAGCAGGTCGTAGAAAGCCTTTTTCTGACAGCGCCAATTGATCAACTGCAATGGAGGCCAAGGAAGCTTCTGCCGGAGAATCGTAAGGACCGTCTCTCGCGGTACAAGGGCTTGCTGTTCAAGTGGCGCCATTCCTTTCTCGTTCAAATCGGGACAGGAACGTCACTTGAGCCAAAATGGATATGGTGTAGGAGGGATGCTAGGGTTTAAGGAACAGGAGGGTATGAGATGGATGTAGCCGTACAGCGCCAGCGGACCAACGGGAAGCTGCAAAACAGCAAGCAACTATGACTCTTGCCCGCGGGCAAACCCATCTCGATAGCGTTGGGATCTTATGGGGTCTGTGCTTGGGGATTGGAGTCCAGTTCGTGATATTCCTAGAAGCACGCCAGCTTCGTAAGGCACAACGGAAGTGAGGCAAGCAAAGTACCAAGCCAACAAACGCACGGATTCAGGGTTTGAGTGTATGGCATTTCTTTTGGCAGTGGATGCGGTTCTCCTTGTCGCGAAAATTGAAATCACCCTGAACCCCGTGCAAGTCGGAACGCTAGCTTTAGCTTCATCTTCACAAACCTGTATTACCACGGGCTGCTCATTTGCAGGGTTAAGTGGGAGTCCTTGCGTTGGGAACGCCTTCTGAGCAGCTCTCTTCCGACGGCCTGGGGCTCAGGTTTTCAGGTCTAGGGTTTGTTTTGCGTCCCAACTGCGGGCTGAGGACTGGAGACTTATACAGGGTCTGCGGGCTGTTCTGTGTTGAGTTGCATTTCCAGTTCCTACTCCAAACTGACTCATATCTTTATGTGGCTATCCCTCATTCTGGCACTCCTGCGACATCGAAACCCGATCTCGTAAGCCCTAGCTTGACTCGGTATGCACAAGTCGACACCTTTAATTACTGTACATAAGGGTTCAAGGGTCTGGGATGTAGGACTAGGCTGGAGCTTTGACACGCGGTTCCTTCATGAGGGGCCTTCTTGAGGGTTATGCTGATCTCTCTATTCGAGGCCCCCGTACTCAAACTCTCAACCCCAACCCGTTTTTTAAACGACGTCTCTCTGAAAGTGCCTCCCAATTGTCCGACTGGGCAATGACTCGTGCATCACGAGGCATGAAATCCGCCAGGCCACATTACAGGACGGCAAACCCGAGCAAGTGACTACGCCGCGACTCAAGAAACACACTGAAGGTCACCACTACACCCCAATCTTTCCAAACACCGCACGAAATGCCAGGCAGCTGAGGAAGCAAAGCATCTGATCCACAAGGGTTCCAGCAAAATGTCGACAGCAAAACACTGTCTCATCATGAACATGAACCGGAAGATGAGCTGTATCGAATCGACTGGCTTGACCTTGCCAACTTGCGGCCCTGTTCCTTGTCCAGCCACAATGCACGCATGGAGCCACCGAATTTGTTTGCGACCGTGTGCTCCGGCATGCGCCCGACCATGTCCGAGAGGAAGGCGTCGCCTTGTCCTTCAGCTTAAGCTCCACAAGCTCGCGCAATCGCCGGTTAACGGCACGGATTGTGACAACAGGGACAACACTCTCGGCAACCAGCGTGCGCATCAGTTCGTGCGGGATCTCGGAACCACCCTAAAGCATGGCTCGCCGTCTTCTTGGGAATCGGACACTGGCGTCTCTCCACACATCGCAGCACCCAAAGGTCTGCGGTTCAAGCCTTTACGGTTCAGGGTTGGTAAGTGTTTAGGGGTTTGGGACATATAGGCAGTTGAGGGCCTATTCCCCACCCGCCCAGCTCAACAAGTCGAACCGCAGGGAACAAAAGTGAACACCAAGGCAAGCGACACTCTCCGAAGCAAAACAGCCCGCGACCAACTTCGACAGAAGACGCAGTCTGGATTCACTGCCCTGTCCGAGTCAAGCAAAAGAGACCCTTCCTAGCCCAAACACACCCACTCAGTAAAACCAGAAGTGCCCCACTATGCCCCACTGTTGCTCAACTCGCAGCCCTACGCACAGCAAGCACTAAGCTATTCCATGGGGCATGGCTTCGAAATCCAAGCGCTTAGGGTTTAGGGTTTTAGGGTTGAGGGTTTAGGGTTATGGGGCAATAGAGAAGCTTAAGGGTTTAGGGCTGAGGCTGTCTACCAAAGAAGCCCTTCCAAGTAAAACCCCAAGTTCTACTGCTTTCCGCCACAAGGAGTGCAATGCCCCCCTAAACCCCTAAACCCCCTTTAAGGATCCCTTTAAGGATTTTTGGAACCCTTTAAGGAGCCCATAACACTAAACCCTAAACCCTAAAACCCTAAACCCTAAACCCCTAAACCCTAAACCATGATCAACCCCTAAGCCGGGGCCAGGGCCGAGGAATCTTCGTCTGGAGCCTCGGCAACCTTTGTCTCGGACACCTGGCCATAGAACCAAAGGGTCAAAGAAATATAGGGTTTAGGGTTTAGGGTTTAGGGTTTAGTACTGTGAACCCCAGAAAGTTGGAACATATGAGGATACTGGTATTCCAACTTTTTGGCTTCTACCGCATGTCAGAGTAGATTATAGCAGATCATAGTATACCCAAGTAGGTGTGTTCTGTCGGCGCTGGCTCGCCAAGAAATCCTTTAGGCTAAGACTCCTAGACCCGCCCTAACCCCCCAGGTACCTACTATATAAGGTACTAGAGCCCCTTATAAGGCCCTACATAGTAGGTACCGGGGGGCTTAGACCCGGAAGGTGTCGTTGCATGGTTCGGCTTGTCGTGCGTAAAACGTTCGGTATTTCAGGTTCGGCAGCTCCTGGGTTGAGCCTTGAAGGAGTTCTTAAGGTTTCGGCTCTCACACTCGGACAATCCAGGCGAGGCATACGGTACGAGGTCTGCAGAAGTGAAACCCACACACATGCTTCGAACCACACTTCGGGGGCTCTTAAGGTTTATAGGGTTTAGGGTTTAGGGTCTAGGGTTTAGGGATGCCCATAATCCCAAAGGCTCCATGTACCTTTGTAGTAGAGACTTAGGCCTTAAAGGGGTCCCTATATAGGTGCTTTGAGGCCTAAGTATCTACTATATGGGTACATGGAGCCTCATAATGTAGGGGCCTTAGTAGCCTTACCCAGGGGCTCCAATGTAGTTCTATTTGGGTCTGTTATGGCTTTTTGGTAGGGTGTTATAGTATACTATCCAAAAAGGAACCACATAGGAGCCCTTGGGTAGTAATTGGCCATTATACTACGATTATAATAAGGAACCCCCAAACATATTTTTGGGTAACTACTACGGCCCCTATTTGTGAGGGCCCGAATGTGCCAACCATCTGGGCAAACTCCTGGCTTGCCCAAATGTCTTCCAGCGGGCTTCAGCCTCTTAGCGCCAAGACTGGGCTAGGAGAAGATGTGGTCGTATTCCCTAAACCCTAAACCCTAAACCCTAAAAAATAAACCCTAAACCCTAAAGCCACGGTTTAGGGTTTAGGGTTTAGGGGGTCGTATCAAGAGCCTTCACTGCTTCTCGACATGAGCAGAGTTTAAACTGGAGACTCAAAGGCTCAGGGCTGGCGGAGTCTATATCACAAACCGTGTGTCAATCAACCCTGTGAGCTTTATCTCCGAAAGCTGCCTGAACCACCCGGGGTTAGGGGAGAGGGCGTAGGGCTTTCTGAAGGTGACGGTCTCCAAATCAAACCAACTTGCAACCAGCTGAAAAAGAAACGTGCACGGTCTTCGGGATCCATCTGCATATGCTTACATACAGTAGAATCAGTAGAAGCCCAAAAGTTGGAAACCCAATAGCCTCAATCCGTAAGAGTATTGCATAGGGAATCCCAGCACTATCTGTCCTTAATGCGGCCTCCAACTTCTTGGGGTTTACTATATGTGTAGTTGTCAAAATGATGGTCCCTTTGTGGGGTACCCTAAATAATAGGTGCCGTAGTATAATAAGGACCCAAAAAGGGACCATAATTTTGACAACCACCCATATGTGTGCTGAGTTAGCAGGTGTACACTATAAAATCACAAACCCAAGCTCTTCACGGTGTCTGCCAAAAACTACCGTTGGATTTGAAAGGGCTTTTGGTGGTGCGACTCTCCAAAACCCTAAACTTTGCCCTAAACCTCACCCTAAGGGTTCAAGTACCTCTTACATTCTAGGGTTTTGGTGTACCCAAAGCCACAAATAAGGAGTTCTTGGACCCGTAAGGGTTATTTTTAAGCCGTAAATGTCCTAAACCTTATTGAAAGCCGTCTATAAGTCTATCCATAAGCCCCATAGTAGTTCGTTTTTGGTGCTCAGATTTAGAATCCTATAAGGTGATCCCAAAAAAGAACTACTATGGGGCCTATGGGTAGTAATACTTTGCGTCGCATGAATCCTGAACTACGTCGGCTCGAGCGACCCTAATCTTGAACCCCTAATTACTCCTAAACTCCTTCCTGAACCCTGAACCCAAAACCCTAAACCTTAAGGGTCCAGATACCTCTTATTATATAGGGGT